GGCGAGCCGCCTGTACGTGCAGCCAGAGGGGTGCAGGCGAGCTCTGTGCACGGGAAAAGAGAAGAAAATGATCAGGAAGTGAAGCAGGAAGCCCAGACAGACAGAGGAAGGAATGGCGTTAGCAGCTGAAAGCGGTGGAAACTTGTTGATTGTTCTGAATTGTCGTGAAGGTCTAGAATAAGGGCTACAAATTACAGGGTCTTCGAATTCTGTATTTTTCTTCAAGTATCTGAATTTTTAAAAATCTGCTTTCAAAAAGCTGTATTTTCTGAATGCAGCTGTGAATTAGATCAGCCGTCCTTCAGGGACATGTGGGAACACATCACTAAGATGACAGGCTTCCCTTGTTTGGAGAATGGGGACAGTGCTGAGGGTTAGTGGGCTTGCAGAGGGTGTACCCCACCCCCCAGTCCTTTTTTTCTGTAAGGACACGTTCCTGTTTGTGGGTGATTTAATCATGTTCTGAAACAACTCTGCAAGTTAATTCCCTGGTGTGGTCCCTCTCTCCCCTTCCCAGGGGTGAGAGACTGATTTCTGGGGCTGTCATGAGTCCCTGTCCCAGCTGTGGAAAGTACGACTCTAGAAAGAGCACTCAGGGAGCCAACTTGGGGTTGGGTCTTCTGTCAAACAGGAGGTGAGTCTTTTTTTTTGTCAATGTGGCAATAACCATGTGGTCTGGGGCTTTCTTCAGGGGCACATGGGGGTGCTCTGGGCACAAAGGGCTGTCTGCCTTGTCAGCCTTGCCACCTCAGCAGCTACCTGTGGTGTGTAGTAAGGGGCTGGCTTGTCCCCACACGACCCCACTGCCAGGCTGTTGCTGCTGCAGCCAAGATGTCCTCTGGGAGGGCGTCTCTGCCGAGAGGTGTTACACAGAGTCGGCCAGTATCTGAATGTCTACATTGCAAGGCTCTGTGCTGGGTGCTGGGGGATTCCAGAGGGAGAAGGGGCCACTGCATGTGGGCTTGTCCTGCATTCGAAGAAAGAAGACCCATGTGCTTACTAGCAGCAAAAGGTAGAGAATAACAGGGCAGGGGAGTGAGCAGCACCTGCGACGGAACCAGTCCAAGTCCAAAGAGTGGAGGAGAAGGTGGCGTTGGGCCAGGCGAGCAAGGAGAGTTTGACAGACACAGTGGGGACAGGTCTGGGACAGTGTGGGAGAAGGAGCCTCTGGCCAACTGAGCCATGAGGTGCAGGTAGGGGAGAGGAGAGTCAGACCGGATCATGGAATGCTGCGTAGGGATTTGCAATTTGCCTCTAGAAAATTTAAGCGCAAGTGCTAAAACAACCACAGCCGAGGGAGAGGCATCGGGGCTGGGAGCTGGGTTTGCTCCTCATGCCCTCCTCGCTAATTTGGAGGATTGCTGGTAAGTCAGAGGAGCTTTGGTCTAGTGCCTGCAGAAGGCACTGAGAAGCTGGGATGTGTGGAGGCATGTGCCTGCACGCCGTGTGTGCTTCAATCCCTGTTCAGTTAGCCTAAGCACTTGGCATCTGCTCAGGTGTGTGATAGGTGTGCGCGGGACCGAGCTGTCTTCCTAGGCGGGTCAGCCCTCTGTTTCTAGGCCAGCGTTCCACCTGAAGACAGGACAGCTTTGTGAGTCATGGGTTGCTGCAATGCAGAGAGATCCAGAACACGATCCGACTCGAGGTCTGGAAGACCTTGGACATGGCACCTGAGGAGGAAAGCCCGGGACCGAGGGGCTTTGAGTAGGGCACGTTCAGAGGACGTCCGCTCCTGAGAACCTGTCGGGGTTCTAGATACCTGCTGTCACCTGCACCCACTCCCAGCCTGCCCAGAGGATGAAAGTCAGACCTGGTCCAGGAGCATGTTGCTCCCTGCCCCACACTTCTGTTGTTTGGCCATTCTTCATTTCCAAGTTGGGAAACGGGCTTGGGACAGCCCAACCCTACTGGTGTCAGAGTGACTCAGTAGAAATAGCTCCAGGACGTCAGATGAATCTTTTCTATGATTTTTTTTTTTTTTAATTCCAGTGTAGTTAACATCCGATGTTGTACGAGTCTATGACTTTTTAAGCAAACACTAGTATGGCTCTGGGAGGGTGTGACTCTCTTTATTAAAGTTTACATTCCTTGTATTAAATCCTAGAACAGATAGGTAGGCGTGACCTTGCCAAGACAGAATCTTGCAGAATGGTTACTGAGTTCAGATCTGGACACTGGAGGAGCCATGGGAAACAGGAGCCAGTCCTGGGGAAGGGACCCGGTGGTCAAAATGGGCCAGGAGGTCGTCACGAAGAGGTGACAGACCTGAAGCTATTGGCTTCTACCCAGGGGGTAGAGGTATAGAGGTGGCAGAATAAAAATTACCTTCAAATATATATATATATTTTATTTTATTTTATTTTATTTTATTTATTTTTTTAAAAGATTTTATTTATTTATTTGACAGGGAGAGACACAGCGAGAGAGGGAACACAAGCAGGGGGAATGGGAGAGGGAGAAGCAGGCTTTCTGTGGAGCAGGGAGCCCGATGTGGGGCTCGATTCCAGGACCCTGGGATCATGACCTGAGCTGAAGGCAGACGCTTAACGACTGAGCACTCCAGGCACCCCATACCCTCAAATATTTAAAAGGCGGCTAAGAGAGGAATTAGATGCGTGTGTATGCGGAACAGTTATACGTAGCATCAAGGGCCCTAGAACCTACAGGCTGGGAGATTTTGACTTTGTATGGAGAAGCATTATGTCTGCTTGGAAGTGAATGAACTGGTGTAGAAGGGTTTTAGGGTTTGAAGGTGAGACCTTTGAGGTCCTTTCCTATTCGAGAGCCTACAGGGTCCACCCTGGTCCTTAGGAAGCAGGTTTGCTGGTTAATTTTCATCTGGCTTGACTGCAGTGGCAGCTTTTTCCCATAGGTGGTCGGGTGGTTCCTGCTCAATGTTCACGACTGAGTTGGGGCAGGAGGAACACGGTGACCTGGGGGCCCCTGCTGTTTGCAGGAACCCTACTGCCTGGTAAGTCCCATACCGGCCATTCCTTTCCGGGTTGAGATTCTGCAGGCTGGCAGAGCGGAGAGAATCAGGAACGTAATAACCACGGTAGCAGCTGTTACTCTTTTCGGGAGTTGAACGGGATGTCCACGGTCTCACACTAGCACATGGCAGAGCCAGCCTGTGAACCCAAGCAGGCAGGCTCCGGAGCCTGAACTCGTTACTCCATGCTCTTCTGCCTGGCTGGCCTGGAAGTCAGCGCTCACAGGGAAATACATATAAGGGACCCAGGAAAGACAGGTATTTGTGTCAAGAACCCTGGGTTCTGCACTGAAACTGGATGTCAGCATCGTCTGGGTAGTTTTTCCAGCACAGAGTCAGGAACCCACTTTTCTACTTGACAACAGGCACACAACCAATCAGGATGAGGAGTGATGGCGTCTGACCCATCTGTGGCAAGTCTGGGCGTCTCTTGGTTTGCCCATGGCTTTACCTATTCAAGGTGTACTTTTGAGAATAGGATGCCATTGAGCTGGTCTGCCCTCTCAGATCTGCATCCTGAAGTCTTCCGTGAACGTTGTGGCAAAATATGCTAAGTCAGTGGGACCTTGTTCTGTTTTTATGGTCTGTTTAGCTATAGTAGAGAGAGCCACTGTCTGCTTGGCAATTTAGCGTAGTTGAAGGGTGTGAAGAATAACTTGGCATTTAACACCTGTCTTGTCACGAGATGAACGCTGCTTTCTGGACCCCAGCTTCCCTTATGTGGAAGTCTCATGTGGCAGATCTCATCGCTGGATAATTATAGACTGTAGATCTTCTCTTTCTCTGTGTTTCCTGCGTGCGCGTTCCCATGCTTTAGCCCTTGACTTGCTATACAGGAGGCATTTGATTACTGCTTATGAAAATGGATGGATATCTCACAGAATCCTCCCAGTAGCCCCATAAAAAAAATTATTAGTCCCTTTTGTCATCAGCCAAGGCGTAGAGATGATACATGACTTGCTCAAGGGCCAGGATGCAGAAGGCAGGTCTCTTAGCCTCCAGTTTAGAGTTTCTCCCCTTGCCACTGGGAGGGAGTCTGCTGCCCCAGAGCAGGGCTCAACAGCCCTGGCACCAGGGTCCCCACACCTGCCAAGCCAGAAGCTGCGGGGTTCACAAGATCCCCAGGTGATTCTCACGAGTGTGAAAGTGTCAGGTGCACTAGTCTAGGCTGCACTTCCGAGCGGATTAACCCTTCTCTCTTTGGGATTGATGGCAACAATGCACTTCCTGTGCCGATTTTGCTCTTTCCCGTGGGACGGGCCATGGGAAGAGGGGAGCTTGAAGATAAATATGTGACTTTGCAAGGTTCTTTGTTCTCTCACCACTGGTGTAAGTAGTTCCCAGGAGACTCTCTGGACTTATTCAGTCACATCCCCAAGTCTTACTAGACTTATTCAATCGCTTGCTCTGGGGAGTGATCCCCCCAATCATCTTTGGGTACGACTGACCTTGTCTTGGGGGAGAGGGAGTCTGAACACCACTCTTGGGAGCCCGGAGGCCGAGCTGCTCAGAGGGTGGGTGCTCCAGGGGCCGGTGTGTGACACTGATTGGTGAGCTGCTGTCATTGGCAAGGGGACTCAGTTGTCCCAGGGAGTTGAGAATGACTGTGGTATCAGGAAAGGCACATGTGGGTCCTCTCTGAATCTGATCGCAGCGAGAGGAAATGACATACTTGGATCTTGGCGTCCAAAGTGAAACCAGCTGGGGCCACCAGAAGTTGGAGTGCTGTTCCTTCCCAGGGCATGCCCGAGTGCCAGGGTAAATTCCGCAGGCTGGGGCCCGCCACCCCGCAGGTGTGAGACTTCCCTGCCACACTGAGTCATGTCTGAGGTGTGGGCATCCCACAATTAAGGTTTTCTCAAAATTGGAAATCCAGAGCATTCAAGTGATGCTCTGAGTCGTTCCCTGTATGGACAGAATGTGCTGGCTCGAGCAGATTGCTGGCTGAGGGTTCAACTAAAATTAAACTCAAGTGCTGACTTGTTTTTACCTCCCCACCCCTTCCCTCAAGGTTGGCCTCCGACAGCTGGACATGTCCTTGCTCTGCCAACTTTACAGCCTCTACGAGTCCATTCAGGAATATAAGGGAGCGTGCCAGGCAGCATCCAGCCCGGACTGCACTTACGCTCTGGAGAATGGCTTCTTCGACGACGAGGAGGAATATTTCCAGGAGCACAGCGCCCTCCACGATGGGGGGGAACGGGGCCCCCCAAGGGACCTGTCGCCGCCTGTCTCCTCGCTCTCCAGCAGCGACTGGATTCTGGAGTCCATCTAGAAAGGGATCTCGGCGGAGAGGCCACTGCTGCTACCAGACCCACTATCAGCCTCAGCCTCTCCTCTCCAAGAACGCTCCTCTGCTCCTCCATCGCGGGCAGTCCCCGGGCGCGAGCTGCCAGGGCTGGCCAGTTCACCTTGGAGGACACGCGTGGCAGTCTGTTGCGATGGCTGGAGTGTCTGCCTAGGTGGCCTCGAGGTGCTCAGCGACGTGCTTGGCGCCGCGGTACGGAGACACTCCTGCCCATGAGTCCTGTCCATGCTGGGAACCTAAGGGGAGGATCCTGGGGGAAGACCCTCCCGGGCATTTCGCACCAGATGACTCTTACTAGTTACTTCCTTGCAGGCGGTAGACGATTTGCTACACTCTCTGTTGTAGCAATTGCCTCCAGACTGAAGTGTAGGAAAACTAACATTTTGCAGCCCCCTCTCCCTTAATACTCCGGCAGCCTTCCTTGCTTTCCTCCCGTGAGCGTTTAAGGCTCTTGGTTGGGCTTTCTTTGTAAGCTGCACTACTCACTGTCCCAGTGACTCAGTGAACGCTTTGTACCAAAAAAGTAAACGTTTCAGGCCACACCAGTCAACTGCATGCTCTTCACCTGCTTGTGGCAGAGCGGAGAGAATCAGGAACCTAACAACCACGATAGCAGCTGTTACTCTCTTCAGGAGTTGAACAGGATGTCCACGGTCTCACACCAGTCAAAATTTGGATCCCTCTTTGTCCGATGGAGGACGGAGGAAGAGAACACGGAGATGGGTTACGCTGGCCAAAAGAAACAGGGGCAAGCTCCTGTTTTGTGTCATTCACTGTAAGATGGCAAACGTTTTTGTTCTCGAAGATTCTAAATGTAAACTAGCACATTAGAAAGCAGTCCTGCCTCTTCCACTCGAAACAGTGATCACCTTAAGCCTTAATATATTTATTAAAATCTTTTATGAACGCTTTATACTTTGTAGGTTAAAAATGAGGATAAAATGCTAAACTCTCTGACTATAGTTATGTATTATTTTGGTCTGAACTCAGAATCACCCATTTTCAGAACTTGAATGCATTGAATCCAATCAACTACTGAAAGAAAAGTATGGTTCATTTTCTTGCCATTAAGGATTTGAAAGAAGTGCTATTCCTCTATTGATTTATTCTTGGAATTGTTTTATCCACAGTAGACCCCCATTTACAGTTAGGTCTCAGTGCTGTTGTATCTCTGACTACTTCAGACCCCCTGCCCTTCTTCTTTGGACAAGAAGTGGTAATTGCTTATTCACAACCCTTTGGGGTCCAAGAGAGGAAGTAAAACATCCTCATGGGCCAGCATGTTGACAGCCTGTTACGTACATGACCGTATGTGACCGTGTGTCAGGAACTGGGGTGAGTACAGAGAAGGAAGAGCATTCCTGCTATTTTCCTGTGTTGAAAGTAGTAGTTAAAAGAGAGATGGCAGTAAATTGCCTTCAGTATGTGGCCCAGCTGTAAAGAGGGGACGAGAACAGTAAAAGTGATAGGACCAGGTGAAGTCTGGTCATCTTCTGGAAACTTTGACAATGAAAGGTTAACAATGCTTGAATCTTGGGCCCGCTCTGCTCAGCCCTGACCACATTAGAATCACTCTGGGGGGGCTTTCAGAAGAATCTTGAGATTCTTTTAAATCTCAAGAACCCCCATCTTCATTTTAATTAGGGGTGAGACCTGAGTCTCTGCCTGGTTCTAGAAGTCCTTCAGGTGATTCTAACGCAGATCCAGTTGCCATCTAGTCTTCAGACTGGCCCGTGAAGCCGGCATTCTGGGACACACAGGAGAGCTACAAGCTCTCCTACCGCACCTGGACCTACCGACTCAGGCCCTGCGTCTTCACAGGATGACCTGGTGATTCTTGCACATGAAGTTCAGCAGGCGCTGCTTGTGTCAGTCCGGGAGGACTATGGCATCTCTGGGGGGAAGCTTGCAGGGCTGGCTCAGGCTTGGGGGAGCCCCCTCATTTAGAATGCAAGGCTTCCCTGGGTCTGCTATGGTTCTTCTGGAACCGCAACCATAGGTTCACAGTGCCTGTGAGTTTGGGGGCGCTCATCTCATTGCAAGATAGGCTATCAGAGCTAGGAGTGGAAGGAATCAGGGCCAGCAAGGGGCCTCCCCTTTGCTGGGGGGAAGGGCTGACACATTTCTCAGCCTGATGGTGAAGTGGCATATATACAGAGGCCATCATAGTTTTTAATATGCCATTTGAAATATATACACATTGTCCCAAGTTTTCTCTTACTCCAGATAATAATGTACTGTTGTGAGTACAGCTCGGCAAGGAATATTAAACATTTCCCAAACCGTAACATGTTTTCTAATACACTGTCCTTACGAAGATGCCACAGATGATTAGAAAATAAATTCACTGGGGTCCTTTATTGCTTCCGGGCATACATCGTAACCTCTAAGTTTGGGGTAGGACGGTTGTGCTACTCATTGGCCAACAGAGGGCTGGGTAGGCTATAAGGCAGACCGACGTTTCCCGAAGCAGTGAGCTACCGTGTAAGGCAGCGTACAGAGCAGTTAGAGAAATCACCTTTAGCTTCCTACGGCATTTGTGCCATGAGCCCAGAGTTGCTGATAATTTAAACCTTGCATTTCACAAATGATGCAGCTCCTCTCACGCCCCAAGTGGAATTCAGAGTCAGTTAACCAACCTGACTCCTGGCTTCCATTTTTCTGTAACCTAGGGTGAAGCCATTCATTCAGCTGACATTTATTTAGTGCTGGTCTGGGTCACGTTGAGTCGGGCACCGAGAACACAACCTGCAGAACCTGAAGAGCCTCTAGCAGATGCCATTTCCACAAATAGCCCAACATGTGAGGTTGTGTTGTGATCAGGGCAGCGCTAGGGCCACTGAGGCCTAGGAGACTCAACAAACACTGGGGACGTTGGCAGAGGTGACGTCTGAGCTCATTTTGAAGGGTGAACAAGTTTTTTTTTTTAAGATTTCAGAGAGTGTGAGAGCTGGGGAGAAGCAGAGGGGAAGAGAGAGAGAATCTCAAGCAGACTCCCCACCGAGCGTGGAGCCCAAAGGGGGCTCGATCTCACGACCCTGAGATCGTGACCTGAGCCGAAATCCAGAGCCGGCCTCTTAACCGACTGAGCCACCCAGGCACCTCTGAAGGGTGAATAAGTTCTTCAAAAAGAGGAGTGAGCAGGCGGATGGAAGGGCATAACATCTCCAAAAACTTATGTATAACCACGTGTGTGCTTTCATGAAACTTTTCCATTTCTGTAAATAAAAACACAGGTCAAGTGATTTGCCTAAGGTCATGGCTAACTGACAGAGCTGGAGTTCTGAGATGTGGTTTGTGCTTCATTTACGTTTCAGGCCCAAGCAGGTGCTGAGATAGCGTGAAATCGCGGAGATTATCCGCTGTGGCCTTCAGTCTCACATCACAGCGCATTAGTATCCCACAGTGGATTGAGCAGCGCTTTCTACTGGGTCTTGCTCCGACTTCTTTCAGAGCCCGTGATCATGGACATACGCCAAGTGTATGGGAGACCAAAAGGCTCTCTAGCAACCAACATCAGGCCAGGTGGCAGTTCAGTTTCATCCTTCTGTCTGGAGAAAACAAAGAAGCCCAAACATGTCTAGTCTGCTTGTCTTCGTGAAAAGATTGTACTTTGAGTTCAGAGAGATGTGTCTTGAGCCCATTCTCCATGGAGGTGGTAGAACTTAAGTCACAAAGATGGCACCTCCTGGGTCATGGTTTCCCGGGGCGAAAATGCTGTGGGAGCGTGTGGGCCTCCAACCACCGAGTGAGGGTGGGCTTGGAGATGTCAACAGCCTGCCTGATGCCTTTGTGCTGGCCAACGGTGATAAGAATGCGTTACCTTTCCACCTGACTTCTCTGGCTAGCAGTCAACTGAGGACAGGTCCCTAGATAACTAGTTTCCTGTCTCCCCAGAGAACGTGCATAAATGGAGTATCTGGAGAATGTTGAGCAAAACCTTTATTAAATACACTAGCTGAGCAATGTTAGCAAAATGAAAGCGTGAAGCAAGTCAGTAAGGACACGTTGTGCCATCTGGAGAATTATGTATTGCCAACCTCGGGCAGAAGCTCCGAGACCTCCCTCCCTGCTTCCTGTTCTGTTTCCAGGACGGAGGATCTCTAACGGAAGTCCTACAGGAACACAGAAACCACTGTTACTGGGAAGGCCGGTTTGGGTAGGAGGAGCACTTGCATGAGAAATCGGTCAAAGCCATGTCGCAGTTCCCCTCAGAGGGTGCAGCTCTGTTCCAGGACTTTAGGGAAGAGAGCACTTTACCTTCCATTCCCTGTCTTTCTCCTGCCCTCAGGATGGTACTAAGATGCCAGAGTGGGGCTCCAGGAGAAACAATGAAAGGGGAGACCATTAAGACGGCCTCTGAGACCTTGCGTTAGAAATAAGAAAGCACCTTTGAAAGCCTAGGGATTTCACAGGGGTGGGCAAACAATGGGGAGTTGAGGTTGCAGGGCAAGCTGGTGACCCTGCCCATTTGTCTGGGGTGCTGCTCTGCATAGAACTCTGGGAATCTAGATGGAGATGAATTTGGAGATTGAGGACGGGGCTTCCCAGACTCACCGAGCAGTGTGTTCCTGGCATGCCAAGGCCAGCAACACACCCCACCGGGCACTAGTCCTCTCTGTGGCTGATCCCCACTTGCCCTGCTGGCAGAAATGCCAGGGAAGAGAGGTTCAACCCAGTCCCCCTGTGGTCATATGCCACTTGACTGAGTCCTCTCAACCAGCTTCTATCAGACACACCCTAGATGACTGTTTTCCTTGATGAATAAACCTCTCCAGGCTCAGCCAGTCCTATCAAAGCATGTCCATTGTACTGGGACCTCAAACTGGAAGGAGGCCGACCGAAGACCTGGAGGCTGCATTTATCTGCCTCTGCTGTAGAAGAAAGAAGGGGAGCATACCCCAGGGGGCAGGAGACGCAGTCTAGAACAGACGTGTGCCTGGTCATACACTTACTTGACTTAAATGGGTTGATAGGATTTATATACCACCTCTGTTCCAAAAACTGCTTTATAAAAATTCACACAACACAATAAAATGCAATTTTTTTTAAAAGTGGGTTTAGAATTCAACACCAAGGGAACACAAGAGCAGGACAGAGAAGAGGCAGCCTGGTATA